AGTGGGTTATGAACTCCCACCTTCACCCCATACACAGATTGCAGAATCACATCAGTTACACATCCACTGATTTACATATTGCCATACTAGTGTCTGTTGTGCTCCGCTGCCTTTCCCATCCTCCACCCTCCCCCCTCCCCACCTCTCCCCTCCCCTCCCCTCCTCTCTCTCTACCCCCTCCACTGTATAACCCTGAGGTCTACCCGCCTTTTTTAAAAAAAAAAAAAACATTTCTTGTAGTGCAGTTCTGTTTGAATGAAATCTCTCACTGGGGGAATTCTTTCTTGGCTGGGGAGTAGTGGTAAAACACCCCAGTGGGTATATTTTGTAATATATATGCTTCCTAGATCATTCTGATAAATATTTTCCTGCAAAAGTGTGTTAAAAGCTGGGAAGTATTATGGATTCCCATATAAAAATATTTTTCCCAGCTTGGTGCTGTGACACATGCCTCAACTCTGGAGGCCAAGGCAGAGGATTGCAAGTTCAAAGTCAACCTCAGCAATTTAGTGAGGCCCTAAGCAACTTAGTGAGACCCTGTCTTAAAAAAATTATGTGTGTGTGTGTGTGTGTATTCCTCACAGTTGGGCACAGATGTGTACCTGTAGTCTCAGCTGTCCAGGAGGCTGAGGCAGGAAGGTCAGCTTGAATTATATAACAAGACCCTATCTCAAAAAATTTTCCACAGTGTTCTTTTCAGATGATGTAATAAACTTACACTTGGTGATGCCATACAATGGAATATTATATATGCAGTCACTAAAATGATCTTTCTAAAAAACAGTTAATGACATTGAAAGTGTTTACAACTTAATTATAATTTTTTTAAAATCTCTTATGGGAAGAAATACACTAAAATATTAAAGGCTAGTATCTCTAGCTATGAAGTTTGCTGATGATTTTCTTTTTTCATATTTTATTCTGTACTTTTCAAATTGTCTCAAAGTGAATAAACTTATAGATGCTTCTTAGTGCACATGTGCAAGTATTTCTCCAAGGTACTTACCAAAAAGGGGGAATCAAACTATGCATATTGTATATCTTAATAATCAATAACAAATTGTCCTCAAAAAAGGTTTTATTAATCATGCTATCATTAAAGGATGAGTTTTCCCAATCCTTGCCAACACTTACTATGATGTTATTAAATTTTTGCTAATTTTAAGAGAAAAAAATTATTTTAATCTATACCTATTTACTGAATTTCAACATTTTTCATGCTTATCTCTGTCATTTGCATTTCCTCACTTCTCAATTGTTTTTTTTCATGCCTCTTTTTTTCTATATGATTTTTTCTTAGTGATTTATGGTGTTATTTTTATATTTTGGATATTGGTTTTTCAGAATATGGGCTTCAAAATTTTTCTGCCAGCTTGTACCAGTTTGCCTTGCCACTTGTGTTTTATTGAACAGAGTTCTCAATTTTGATATCATCATATTTTTCTTAGTTTCGTATTGGTTTGTTTTGGTACTAGAAATTGATGTTCTACTACTGAACTTCATCCCCATTTTTTTTTTTTGTACTTTGAGACAGAGTCTCACTGAGTTGCTCAGGCTGGCCTTGAATTTGCACTCCTCCTATCTCAGCTCCGAAGTAGCTGGGATTGTAGGTAGGTGGCTGCCACACCCAGCTCAAATATTTTTCTTTATGGCCCTGTGCTTTGAAGCCCTATCCTATCCCATAGTCTATATTTAAAAATTTTTTTTTTTAGCTTTTTAAAAATGTTCAGCTCTTTAATCCATTTGGAAATTAATTTGTAAATGGTGTGAGGTTGATACTGATCAAATTTGTTTTTCAAGTGAATAATTATTTATTATCTTGCTTTATAGACTTGAAATACCATTTTCCTAATATATGATATTCTCATACAGTCACTTGGGACTGTTTCTGTTCCCTATCTCATCATCTCAACATAGTAAAAATTTATTTCTGGATTGATTGATTGATTGACTATTTGGTGCCAGTGTCGCTTAACCACTGAGCCACATCCCCTGCCCTTTCTTGTTTTTATTTTGACACAGGGTCTCACTAAGTTGCTTAGGGCCTAGCTAAATTTCTGAGGCTGACTTTGAACTTGTGAGTCTCCTGCCTCAGCTTCTCAGGCTCTTGGGATTACAGGCATGTGCCACCATACTTGGCTTGTTCAGGGTATTTTAGACGTCTTAAATCAAAGCTGTTACTGACTTTTGTTGCTAGCTAGTTACCAGTGGCAGGGACCACATAAAAATCAAATGTGAATGCATGGAAAATAAAAACATCAAAATGAACAAAAACTTGAGCGAATAAAGACCATGATGAGAGAGAATAAAATACTTGTGTTTTTATGCATCCAAAAGTCATAATATCAAGCCTCTGCATTCACTATATCATCTAGTGCATTCACTATATCCTTTGGGTTGTTTCTGCTACCTCTACTCTTTATATGGATGATAGAGAAGTTTCTTTACATGATAATTGAAATAACAGAAAAGAAAAATACTATTAGGGATTATAGTAATGAATAACAGAAAAGTATCATATTACTTGGAGGCTGGTAAGCATTAAAAAGAAAACTGAACAAATAAGTGTTTAAAGTAAAAAATCACAATACACAGTATAAACTTTAAATCTAACCAATGTACACAATATGATTATACTCAAAATTGTATCTTTTTCATAGTAAAGCTAACATTACACAAGTAGGAAAAGCTGTCATGTGGGCAAATGTGGTTTTAAATCAACAGTTAATTCAATTATTTACAATAAATTTAGGTGTTCCTGGTTGAAAAGTCATGTTGATGGGGCATGGTGATTGTTAAGGGACTTGTGTTTAATGCAGTGTGACCAAAGTTTCAGGGCTCAGTAAACAGGAATAGGCAATAAAATCTTTTAATAACCACTTACACAGAAACATCCTATTTTTTTTAATGGAGGCAAAAAGTGAACATTGTGATTAACTGATCTCCTTTTAACTCACCAGTTTATAATTAGTTGCCTTATATTATAAGCTGACTTTTTCCCATTAAAGCAACTATTGAGCAAGTTCTAAGAAGCAGCTTCAAGAAGTACAACAAGCTTACTAGACAGTCATTTCTTCCCTTGCTTATATTAGGTTATCATTGGGGATAACCATTAACTACATAATAGACTTACCATTAGCATATCAAATGAAAGATTTAGTTTCTAAAATGGTAACTCACATATTTTTGTACTCTGGTTGTCGCTACTGAATTTGCATTGTAAAATGACCATAACCAGCATCTTCATGAAAGCTACCAACCATTGTTTTAAAACAAACTTTTTTTGTAAACCTGAAAGTATAGTTTTTGGAAAACCAAAAAGAAAAAATAGCAGAACATTTTTTATATACTTTGCTGAATAATATGAATTGTACAGCAACAATCCTCCGAGTGGAGATCATCTAGATAAATTGTGCTAACGAATTTTCTATCTAGCTGCTTCGAAACTACTTTCTCAGCGTAGTCCGCAGCTACCTGTGCGTTTCTGAGCTCGCTCCATAGCGGGCGCTGACGAGAAGCTGCAGCGCATCCACGCTCTGATGCGGTTGCGTACGTTTAAGCGCTTCCCGCTCTTACCGGCTGGGCTAAAACTTCAACTGCCATCTGACTCACAAGTCTGGTTTTCTACTCTGTCTGGTGCCCCCTGGTGCTCAGCACCTGCACAACCTTGGGTAGTTGCAAGGAGCAAAGGGGTCCAAGGAGTGCAAGGATGCTTTGAGGAAAAGCATTCCATTTACTGTGAACCCTATGGATCCAGATTTCCTGAGTCCACTGCCTTGGCATAAATTACATATGTACATTCGTGCAGCTCGAGAGGGGGTGGATAGATAGATAGATAGATATACATACCAAGTCCCTAAGTAAAAGAAAGCTGAAAAATAAGTTTCAACCAACTACAGAGGCAGAAGTCAACTCAGCCCTTTCAAGTTTGTAGACCAGACACGAGGATACATGGACTTTATCTTTTTCGAACCCATCTCCCCGCCCCCGCACCGGTCCCGTTCATTCTTTTTCGGGAAAGCAGAGTTCACTATGATCCTGGATCATAAGAGAGCCCATCTGAATATCCGTTTGGGGGTTGGAGCTGAGAATGCGGCCTGTGGAGGAGAGAGGATGGAAGATAATTCTTCCTGTCTTCTTCCCTAATTAATTTACTCAATATTAATCTCATGTGTAACCTTCGGAAAGTTTTCTATGGGTGGGTTGACTCCTCTTCTTCACTAGCTCAGGCTCTAGTTATCCTCCTTTGCCCTTCCCCTCCACCCCTCCACCCCTGGTCACTCAACACTACTGAGTCTCTTTCCATTAAAGATGAACAACAGATAATTTTTCATTGCATGGAAAGCCTAAAAGCTCTCTTATAGCAGAGCATGATGGGAGCCTCTCCCCTTGTTCTCCATCCCTCTCCTTTCTTCTTCTTCCCTTCTTTTCACAATTTGTTCCTAAATAATGCTTTTCCTAGCAAGCGCTGACTTTAGGATAGGCTTGTGACGACCCACGATGACTCTCCCGTCAGGCTTCCAGAAGAGACGGTTTCCAAAGAAAACTACAACTCCCAGGAGGCATCAGGCTAAAGCAGCCGCAGGGTATTACGGAAGTCGTAGGCGCCTTTTGCCTCAGTCTCTCTGGCGTCTCCCACTTGCAACTACACGTCCCAGGGCGCCTCAGGACTGGAACGCCTGCGCGAGAGCCCTGGGCACGGTGGGGGTGGGGCCGCCCCGGGCGGCGGGGGGCGGGGTCCGAGCGGGTTGTGTGGAGGCTTCAGACTCCGGCGCCATTTAGCGCGGAGAGTTTCCCGGGCGGACGCTGCTGTTCTTCTTCGGCCACTCGTACCCCCATCTTCGGTGACAGAGGCGCCTGGTGGGGGTGACTGTTCTTTTCTCTTCCTATCCCCTTCTCCCAGTCTTCTCGGTCTCCTCTACTCTTGGCCCAGAGAAGCAGCGGAGCTCGGGCCCGCGGTGAGCGGCCCTCCCCTCCCCACCGTTCCCTCCCTCCGTCAGCCCCCGGCACCGGCCCGGGAGGGGACGAGGGTTTGCCAGGCCCGGGGCGGGCGGGGAGGCCTCGGGGAAGGGGGGGCCCGCTCCTCAGGCGCCGAGGCTTCGAAGCTTCGGCTCCCGGCATCTGGGCGATGGGCTCTCTGTGAGACTGGTCCCCTCGCTGGGGGCGCGTGCGGCAGGAGGCGGCTGCCGAGTGACCGGAGCCGGGCCGCGGCCCTCCCTCGCCCTGCTCAGCCCCTCCCACCCCTGTGCCCTGGGGCTGCCACCGCCCGAGCGTCTGAGCTCGTCCCTGCCTCGCGGTGCCGCCGCCCTCAGGGCCTAGCCCGCCCTGCTCGGCGAGCGGCGGGACTTGAGCGGTCGTCGCATCCGCAGCATCCGCCTCGCCTCACTTCACCTCACCTCGCCTCGCCTGGGTGCCGGCTCCCCTCGCCCTGCCCCTCATGACTGCGGCGCCTCTGCTGCCACAGCCCTGCCGGCCGCCGCGCGCCGCAGGATGGATGCGGACCGTGCGGCGCTAACCCCCGTGGCTCTGCACCTGAATCTCCCGCCGACGAGCCCGCCTCGTGAGCCGCAGCAGCTTCGGTGCCAGCAGCCGCCGCCGCAGCTGGGCCCAGAGTCCCGTGTCGCCTTCGGGGCTCCTTGTCAGTGTTGAGTGGGGAGTCGTCCGGTCCGGGTCGCTCCGAACCCGCTGTAGGAGCGGTGCCCTGCAGACCTTCGCGGCTCCTGCGGGTGGGCCCTTCTTCCTCTTTTCATTCTCCTATCCAGCCGCTCGCCTCACCCAGCGGACCAACCATGTCTGGCGGCGCCGCAGAGAAGCAGAGCAGCACTCCGAGCTCTCTGTTCCTCTCGCCGCCGGCGCCAGCCCCCAAGAATGGCTCCAGCTCTGATTCCTCTGTGGGCGAGAAACTGGGGGCCGCGGCGACCGATGCTGGAACTGGTAGGACCGAGGAGTACCGGCGCCGCCGCCACACTATGGACAAGGACAGCCGTGGGGCGGCCGCCACCACTACCACCACCGAGCACCGCTTCTTCCGACGGAGCGTCATCTGCGACTCTAATGCTACTGCGTTGGAGCTGCCTGGCCTCCCTTTCTCGATTCCCCAGCCCGGCGTCCCCGCGGTTGTTCCGCAGATTGCTCCATCAGAGCCCCACCGGGAGGAGACCTTGACTACTACCGCCGTTTCCCAGGTGGCCCAGCAGCCCCCAGTCACTGCTGCCCCTGGAGAACAAGCTGTCGCGGGCCCTGTCACCTCGACTGCCCCAAGCAGTACCAGCAAAGACCGCCCAGTTTCCCAGCCCAACCTCGTGGGGAGCAAAGAGGAGCCACCACCGGCGAGAAGTGGAAGTGGTAGCGGTGGTGGCAGCGCCAAGGAGCTGCAGGAGGAACAGAGACAGCAACAGGATGATATCGAAGAGCTGGAGACCAAGGCCGTGGGAATGTCCAATGACGGCCGCTTTCTCAAGTTTGACATCGAAATCGGCAGAGGCTCCTTTAAGACAGTCTACAAAGGTCTGGACACTGAAACCACTGTGGAAGTCGCCTGGTGTGAACTGCAGGTAAAGCCCCACCTACTTCTTTATTTTTACGGCCCTTGGATCCCAAACTTGGCTCTGTTCAGCCAGTTTATCGAGTTCACCCTTTACGTGTAATTCTGTTTGAGTGGAGAGGTGAGGCCAACTTTGGAAAGGAGTTGAAATTGGGAGAATGTGAAGCATGTACCTAGGTGTTTAAAAAGGTAAAAATTTTTGATATAGGAATTTGTTAGTAGACAGGAGGTGAAAGTCAGTATAAATATATGATTTCCTTGTTATTGGTTAAGTGTCTGGCTGGAAACTTGGAATTAATAGGGAAGTTTTTGAATTAGGAAAGTACCGAGTCTTCTTGCCCTGTGCATTTCAGTTTCATCAGAGCCTCTGTAGGGATGACCTGCCCTGTGTTTGAAGTCCTTATGTTAGAGGTGGTGTTTTCATTCCTGAGACCAGGTTGTTTTTTTAGAATAAAAGGGACCTTGTTCCTTTGAATATATCTTACTTGTTGGCTTCACAGACATTTAGTAAACAGTAATTGTGAAGACTGTCTTTGCTCCTTTGGAATTTGTGCTCTGGGACTACTAAGATACAGTTATGTTTTTGCTATTGCTCTACCTAATGCTCTTTAAGACATATGGTAGCTGGCAGTAATCTGAATGTTGATTAAAAGGAATGACTTTAATTCATTTACTCTACAATAGCCATGCAAAATTGTGTCATGCTTTGAGAATTGTAATGTTATCATCGCCTTAATCTTATTATAAAAGATTTTTAAGCTAAACTTTTCCAAGAATTCAAAGGAATTACTAATGCTTCCCTTTTTTTAACACCCTAGGGAGGTTTTCCTGTTAAATAATGACATGTCATTCTGATGGACAAGTGTATTCTAGGTTTAAACGCTGGGTTACTTGTTGCTTGACATTTGTAGCACCTTGCTTTGACTGTTGTGCTCACAGGGGAGTGAACACAGACTATTGATAGAAGCAGAATTTCACTGAAGGAAAAGTTATAATCTACGGTATACATGAAAAATGCCATTACCCATATTCTTCTTGCCAAGACAGTGGACCACGCTGAAATAGGATAGGAAAGTACCTGCATGATCTTGAAACTTCATGTTAATACTTAATCTTTTGAATGTCAGTTTCCAACTGACCAAGGCCATATCAAGCGTGAAAGAAAGTTAACACAGCATATGGAAGTAAACTTAAAAACTGACAAGTTCTTTAAGACCATAGTAATTTCTTTCTTTCTTTCTTTTTTTTTTTTTTTTTTTTGTGGTACCAGGTATTGAACCCAGTGGCACTTAACCACTGAATCACATCCCCAGTCCTTTTTTTTTTTAGTTTTTATTTAGAGACAGGGTCTCATTAAGTTGCTTAGGGTCTCAATAAGTTGCTGAGGGTAGCTTTGAACTTAAATTCTCCTGCCTCAGCCTCCCAAGCCATGGGGATTACAGAAGTGCATCACAATTTCTTAAATTATGTATTTGATATGGAACTTCTAAGCATTGTGAAGTAAAAACAACTTATTAATTTTATAGTGGTTTAGAGTTTGAAAGGTAACAGACTTTTTTTTTTTTTTTTTTGGTACCAGGGATTGAACTCGGGGGCACTCAACCACCAAGCCACATCCCCAGCCTTATTTTGTATTTTATTTAGAGACAGGGTCTCACTGAGTTGCTTAGCACCTTACCACTGCTGAGGCTGGCTTTGAACTCTTCATCATTCTGTCTCAGCCTCCAAAGCCACTGGGATTATAGGCATGTGCCTTCACTCCCGGGTGTGCCACCTTGCCTGGCAATAGGCAGACTATTTTCTAGAAAAAGCCTGTCAAACTATATTCCTACAGTTAGTCAGACTCAAAAACTTAGGTCTGATTTCTTTTGGTGTTCAGGTAAAAATTTACAGGACGACATCTGTTTCTTTTTTGTACCAAGGATGCTAATCATCTGGGAATTTATTCTGTTATAATTTTATATTTCAATAGGTAATTTTTAGTGATTTTTGTTTCCTGTTTTAAAAGATTGGACCCAGTGAAATGTTGGGCATGTTATGGATTAATTTTGTTAATTTCAATTATTTCACTTTTAAGCCTTCACACAATGTGTATTTTCGCTTTATCATCTGGAATTTTCTGATAGTTTATTGTCTTAGAACTAATAATACAGGGCAAAAAAAATCGCAATTGACTGATGTCACAATGAGAACTGTCTAAGTGTCTCAGTTTTTCTAAGAACTCAAAACTTCTTGGATTTTTTAGTTTTTTATCTAGGCAGAGCATAATCAACCTAAGGAAAATCTTACATCACATAATAATTTTAAGCCAGTTTAGGATTTGGCTGCAGAACCAAATGCATCCTAGCTCATGGAGTGGTACCTTGGTTTAGAAACTTTCATGTCATTTTGCTTTTACAATTTTTCAATTTGTGCTACATGATTATCGTAGCCCAGGAATTCTTTATAACAGTAGTTGGGCAGTATTTTTATTTTTCTTGACCAGGATACTTGCAGTACATGCCTAATAAAGTATCAGTAGGTCAGTGTTTGAATTTTTGACTTTGGGTCTGAATTAAAGGACAAGCCAAAAGATTACTAAAACATTGGGAAGAAAGGAAAGCTTTTCACTAAATGTATACTTTTAACATGTTTATTTTTCTATAGCAAGACAAGAAAAATATTGTGTTTAGTTGTTAAATTAAAATTTTTAATTTTTAACTGGGAGAGATGGTGCATGCCTGTAATCCCAGCAGCTCCGGAGGATTGTAAGTTTGAGGCCAGCCTTAGCAATTTAGCAAGGCCCTAAGCAACTTAGTGAGACCCTGACTCAGAATAAAAAATAAAAAGGGCTGGGGATGTGGTTGAGCCCTTTGGTGTTCAATCCCTGGTTTAAAAAAAAAAAAAAATCTTAGTGTATTGAACCTGGAAGAAATTTTAGGTTATCATTCCCAACTAGGTCATAGAGTATACAAATAGACTGATGACAAGCAAAAATTAAACTGGTTAGGATCTAATAATTTAGGAGATGTTAAAACATTTGTAGTCCAAAAATGGTTAATAGTAATTTCAAATGAATAAATATTATTTTGATGTAGAAGGGGCTGTAAATTTCTAGAGAATTCTGGTTACTTAACATTTCAGGCTTTTGTTTGGGGTCTTGCTTTTTTTATTATTGTTTTAGTTGTAGATGGATAAAATATCTTTATTTTTATTTGTTTTTATGTGGTGCTGAGGATTGAACCCAGTACCTCACATATTAAAGGCAAGCACTCTACCACAGAGCCACAACCCCAGCCCTGGGTATTGCTTTCATCACTTTAAATGGATACACACACACACACTTTGGGGGATGAGTGAGTGTGGTACAAAAATCAATCTACTTTCTGTCAAGCTATTTTTAGAGTTATGGTATGCATAATTATATAGTAAATCATCAATTCTTTTTCAAAAAAATGTATGTATTTTTTAGTTGTAGATGGACAATACCTTTATTTTTATGTAGTGCTGAGGATTGAACCCTGTGCCATACACTTGCTAGGCAAGCACTCTCCCACTGAGCTATAACCCCAGCCTGATTCTTTTTTTTTTTTTTTTTAATATTTATTTTTTAGTTGTAGTTGGTCACAATACCTTTATTTTATTTATTTTTGTGTGGTGCTGAGGATTGAACCCAGGGCCTCATGTGCTAGGCGCATTCTACTGCTGAGTCACAACCCCAGACCTCTCATCAATAATACCCAGATAATACTTTGATACTTCAGTAATAACTGAGATGCTTTGAGTGAGATGTAGATTTCTTTACCTGGATTTATTAGGCAAATGGTATTCCTTAATTTTAATTTTAATACCCAGTTGCCATGGTCATAAAATGTTACTGCTGGGTTGTATCATATACATTTCTTTTCTAGAGAGGGATGTCATTTAAAAAAAAAAAAACCAGTAAATTTGCTTGAAGGAAACATTAATATACAGATTTAAGAATAGTTTGTTTATTTAAATATACTTCCCCAGTTTGCCACTAAATAGTGAGTTTACTTGATGCAGTATGTGTTTCCAGATCTACCTGAAAGGGGAAGTCAAATCATAATTTTTGCTTATACTTGAGCACTAAGTAGACCTTAGTGATTACTTTTTTCTCTGGCTTTTAAGTTAAGGTTCGTGTCTATTGAGTGTATGATCTCAATGTTTTATGAAAAGTTTAGTAGTACTACAGAAATGGGAGATGGTTCTGTGACTCAGAAAATAATTTATGGGGCTGGAGGGCTGGGGATATAGCTTGGTTGGTAGATTGCTTGCCTAGCATGTATAAGGCTCTGGGTTCAATCCCCAACACCATCTTTTTTTTTTTTTTTTTTTTGGTACTGAGGATTGAAGTCAGGGCACTTCACCATTCAGGTACATCCCCAGCCCTTTATTTAATTTTTAAAAAATTTTTATTTATTTTTTTTTTTAATTTTGAGAAAGGGGTTTTGCTGAGTTCCTTAGGGCCTAACTAAATTGCTGAGGCTAGCCTTAAACTTGGGATCCTCCTGTCTCAGCCTCTGGAGTCACTGGGAATACAGGCAGTTGTTGGGATTACAGGCATGCTCCATTCGGCCCGGATGTACTATAGTTTTTAAAATAAGTCATTGAATGGAATCTCCCTATTTGAATATTGAAGGATTTTTGTTCCACATTACTTTTTAAGTTTGTGCTGTATTCCTTATTTTTTAGAGAATCTGTAGTAACTTGCAATCCTGGGAACTACATTTGAGTTTGTTTTTTAAGTTTTGAAACTCACTGATTAGGAAGAAGTACTGGCAAAATTCAGATCACACCTTTACCTTTAAGTAAGGGTAGCTACTGTACAAATTAAAGAATGGTGATTTATTGGGGCTGGGGTTATGGCTCAGTAGTAAAGCGCTTGCCCAGGTGCTGGGTTCAATCCTCAGCACCACATAAAAATAAATAAATGAAATGGAGGTATTGTGTCCAACTATAACTAAAATAATAATAATAAAAAATTGGTGATTTATTTTAAATAACCCT